TGGTGTCCCAGGTTGTGTCATACAGTCTCTTGTCCTGGCAAACTCCAGGTGAAGCCAGTGGTGTTTTGTTGCGGAGTTAGTTCATCTAGCTGTCCACAAGGTTTATTAGATTAACCTTCACAAGTAGTGGAAAAAGTGTTTGAGCAGTTTCTGGACCGCAGCTTTGGACAGAATCCCATAGTTGTGTTTGTACAGCGCTTCAGCTGGTAATGCTGCTGGATTCCAGCAGGTACTGCAGTCGTTAATTGGTCCAATCGCACTTAGATAATTTGGTTAAGGATAATAGCTGTTATGATCAAAAATAATGAAAAAACACTCCTCAAACTCCAGAGTTTGTTGCATCCCAGTTCAGGGTGAATAAAATGAGGACCTTATTTTTGTGATACCTTTTGTCAGCGGGAGAGTAACTGTGCATTTTGAATTTTCTTGGAAGGAATTCTTTTTGTGATCACTGGAACTTGGATTCTAAGACAAGTGATCTGAAATCTTGACAGAAATACTGGAAACATGGAATTACACTATAGACTTAAAAAACAAACAAACCCTTGTGGATTTTCTACATCAAACTTTGTTCTGTGCTATTTAGTTCTTCAACTACGTATTTTATACCTTTTGGTAGATATTAGTGCTGCAGGCATTTAAACTGGTAGCACAGCCAAAAGCAGCCATTTCTTTGCTCATTAGTCTTGTATTTGTGTGGCTGTGAAAAGGCTGTTGACCCAAAATGTTGGGGCTTCATGTCATTTTCTTCCAAATTCGTGGTCATAGTGAAGGATCAGCTGTTTTTTGTTTGTTTGTTTGTTTGTTTTTAAAAGATTACTACAGTCAGATTGTGTAACTTTGGCCTTGCTGTTCCCTGACTGTGCTGTGAGCAGGATGAGTACGCTTGAAAATGACTGCAAAAAGACGAGGTAGACGTGAGTCTACCTGAAAGGATATGGGACTAGTTTTGTTGCAACAGTGCAAATGTAAAGTCACGTTAAATTGTGTTACTAGTGGCATTTGTTAATTACTAAGTACAAAATTAAGAGATTTAATAGGTCAGTATACTTCTTGGCAGGTCTAATGTGATGTTTTCCAACTTCTCTTTTAAAGAAACTGAAGAAGTTTTTAAGGTGAAGAAATCAAGTTACAGCAAAAAGATTGTAAAACAACTGAAGAAAGAATACAAAGAAGATCTTGAAAAATCAAAAGTTAGAACAGAGGTCAATTCTCCAACTGATGGTAACTGCAAAGCTAATAGTAACTTTTGTAGTGGAAAAGATGGAGTATTGTAAATACAAATTACCTGTTTTCAGGATGAATTGTTAGTCTTTAGAAGATTTAGCATTTGGAACTGAAGTAAAGCATGCGCTGAATGTGTTCATTTGAACCTTACAAATGCTGTTCTGAAGCTGGTTTTGATTCTTTCTCATGTGGATTTGAGTCCTTTGAGTCTTGCTCCTGTGGAAATTAACGTAGAAGGATGGAATTCCTCAACTACATATATGCTTGTCAGTAGACCTCAGTAGATTCTATATTTTAGGTCTGTTTATGTTGGATGAGTTTCTTCCTATTGAATTAGGAAGAAAGTAAATTAGTTTAGAGCTGTGTCTGGTGCTTATCTGACAGAATGTGTCCTTGTAACGCATCTTCTTGAAAAGGAAGGTTTTGGGCTGAGCAGAGTGGTGCTCTTTGTTATTAAGTAAATTATTCAACAGCTGTTTCAGGACTTGGACCTTAGAGTAGACTTGATGATTAAGATGATGGGATGGAGGTGTTGGAGCAGAAGGATCTTTTAACAATGTCCAGTCCTCCAGAGCTTGGAATAGAGCCTGGGATTTCAATTTCATTGTGCTTCTGCAGTTGGTTTTTGGGAAGCTCATTGGTAAAGTGTTATGTTCCTTTTTGAGTTAGGTTTTTTGTGTAGAGCAATAACCTACACTGCTATGAACACAAGCCAAGAGGCTTATAATCTAAAGATTGCAGTGGCATACCTGAAGCATATGAGAGTTGAACACGGTCCCATGCAGAAAATTGACTGGTTTTAAGTTAAATTAGACTTTTAAAATCTTAAAGATGTTAAAAAGGCTTTGTCTGCATTTTAAAACCCCACAAATTCTTTCTTATTCAAATCATAAGTTGCCTCTGCAGTGATATGGGGCATGAGCAAAACCAGAAATTAGCATTTCTGTGGCTAATATCCAGGTGATCTGGGGAAACCTGGATCTCAATTCTTGCCTTTGTCACAAAGGTCCTTTAAAAATTGCATTTTACACATGGCTAGTGTGTGCTTATTTTCTGTTTGTGCGTTTTGCAGTCCCTGTGGTTGGTTTGGTTATAGTGCAAAAACCTTGGGGCTGCTTCTGAGTCAGTATTCTGGATTCTTTAGACAAATGCTAGAGTCTAAAAACTCAAATACGTGCAACTTGGATTGGATATCTGGATTTAACATGCATTTTTTTTAATAGAATATTTGTACCTTCTGCCTGTGTCTGTATGTTACCCACCTAATGTAGGGTGATGTTGCACCCAGCCTAAGAGGAAAATGAAGGGGTTCTTTCGAAAGGAGTCTGTTCTTGTGGAAGGATTTGGTGTAACACAGGCAGTGCTTTCTCATTACATATGTAAGAGGCTGTGCGAAGGTTGCACGTGCAATCTGAATTATTGAGTTCCTTTACTTTTTTAATACGTAGCAATATGTGTGTAGAATGTTTAGTGGTTGTTGGGGTGTCTGCTTTCTCAAATTTTATTTTGAGAGGATGTCAGTTACTTAATCACAACTAAGAAGGTGTATTTTACTAGATACTCAAACGATAAAATTATCATTTAACATTTTCATTGGATTTTTACTTTGGGTTGTTAGACCTTAAAAAAATTCTTCTGAGCGATCTTTTTAAGAAGAGTAAAATATGGGCTTTGTTGTCTTACCAGTCGATCCACCGCTAGAAAAGACAGGACAGATTAAGGATATAGGTCAGGAAGATGGGACTGCAAACAGTGAGCATGGTGAAGAAGAAATGGAAGTTGAAAGTGAGAAGGAAGAAGAAAAACCAAAAGCCGGTGGGGCTTTTTCAAGTGCTCTGTCATCACTGAATGTTCTCCGCCCAGGTTGGTTATTGTAATGTGTCTGATATGTTAACAAATGCTTTAGCTGGCTTTTACAGCAGACTAATGTATTTCAGAGGTTAAGAAATATTTCCCAGCAGTATATCCAGCATCTGAGAATTCAGGAAATTGCTATTTTCCAAAGCTGTTCAATTTTACAAGCCATATGAGAGACAGTGTTTTACTGCAGAATGCTTCATCCTGATGTTAAAATCAGGAATTTGTCTCTCAAAGTGATGACAAACTGTAAGAAAATACACATTTGGAACAGTTGACAACATTAATTTTAACTGCTTTCAATTAAAATTCTATCATTAGTTTGAATGTCTCAGTTACTGGTCTGTGAGGCATCTCAAATGTTTTCCTATCTCATTTTGTCTGTTGAGGTTCTAGTCACACCCTGAAACCAAAGAAATCAGTCTGAGAAAGTATTTTTGAAACTAGTGTACTAATTGTTAGCTAACTCATGGTAGCCTGCTCCCCAAATAGAAGATGGATGTCCTGGGGCCACAGACTTGGCCATGTTTCAAGGGAAAAATGATTTCCTAGTTGATTCACAAATAATTTTTCCTTTTAGGGGTAATTGCATAGTGGTGTGATATGTATGTTACTGCATCTTTAAAGATACTGCTGACTGGAATAGAGTATCTCATGTCAAGTATAAAGAGCATCTGATATTTAATGTTTTGAGCATGCCTGATCAAAGTAGTGGTAAAAACTACTGATGTATCAAAAAATTTATTTGGGGGGACCATTCTTTATATAACTTATGTAAGTTGCATTAATTTTGTGCTAGGGATTTTAGATTTTTAAACTAGATTGCTTTTCTTGTGTCTCTTTGTACAGTTTTCTCATATTAGCTTTGTCTGGTTTGGTGTCCTCTTAATCTCTGAGCTGCCATCATCTGTTGAAATTGCAGATTTTTTGTTTTTTCCCCAAAAAATAAGAAGAGTTGGAAGCAATATCAGAGCAGGAAGTGACACAGTCAAGAACCTTGTTTGCTTTCTCCCTTTGCAATAGTCAGCTCCTTTAAAGGGCTTTCTCTTCTTTAGGAACATTTCACATAGGAACAGCAGGTTATGTATTGTTATGGTATTTGAGCTGCTGGAAGCAGAGACAAACTTTTGGGGAAAGATCTCAGCTTTGGGGGTTTCTGGTCAGAAAGTTTGCATGTGCAGCTTATAAGTTGCTTGCAGATGTTTCTGTGAGTGTGGATGTCTTCCCTTCACGTTTTTTTTCTGTTTGCAGAGATTATTTGCTAGAGTGGCAGAGATGAGTAATAAGAGGTCAGAATACCTGTTTTGTTGCAGTTGTTTAACGGTGCAAACGTCTGTCTCTAGGAGAAATTCCAGATGCTGCTTTTATTCACGCCGCTAGGAAAAAGCGTCAAATGGCTCGTGAACTTGGAGACTTTACACCTGTTGACAGTGAACAAGGTAAAAGCCGCCTTGTTCGAGAAGATGAAAATGATGCCAGTGATGATGAAGATGATGACGAGAAGAGGAGGATAGTTTTTGCAGTGAAGGAAAAATCCCAAAGGCAAAAGATTGCTGAGGAAATAGGTAAAACCTTTTTAGAAGGATAGCTGATAAGCATTCACGTTGTTTTCACTGCAGGTGCTCCCATTCAACATTTTTAAGCAACGTAGTTTTCAAACAGGCATGAATCTGGAGTTGTGTTCCATTTCTAAGGAAAAGTACTGTATAATAGAATCTGCCTATAAAATTTTGAGCACAAACTATGTTCCTGTGCTTAGAAACATCTCTACTGAGTCTGGTAGAAACTTACACTGAGGATCAATTAGTATTGTTTTGTTCCTGTTCCTTGGTTTTTGAGGAAGTATATAGTTGTGAAAATAAAAACATTAGTTCTTTGTTATAGCATTCTTCTTGCTGACAAGCAGGTAAAATAACCTTTTGGAAAAGGAGGATTAGTAAGACTTACGGGATTTTAACATTAGAGGGTTTTACCAGCAGTTACTTGTGAATTTACCTATTGGATTTTTTAAGTGGAACCTCTGTGATAATTCACAGGCTAGCATCCTTAATTCCTCATGAAGAGGAAAGCAGGATGTGCTGAGATGTTCCCATCAAAGCATGGTCTCTCAGGTTTTTGAACTCGTGGCCCTTACTATGAATAAGTTATCTTCTCCTTTTTGTTACCTGTCTGTTCTACTCTAAGGTATTGAGGGAAGTGATGATGAAGCACTGGTGGCAGGGGAACAAGATGAAGAACTCAGTAGATGGGAGCAAGAACAGATACGGAAAGGAATCAACATACCTCAGGCATGTATTTACTTGTGAACTCTGGTTTGTTTCTGCATATATTGGCTAAATCTGTTACAAACTTGAGTAGTTTACAGAAGGCTGTTTCATCTGAGGAGTGTGTTAACTTCTGATACTTTTTAAAGTGAAATGAGAGGCCAGATTTTAAGCATCCAGTGGTATCCATTTAATTAGTCTCTCTGTTCTGGGTAGATGCTGATTGTTGTCCTGTTAACCAATATTTATTTGCAGCCTAAAATAGAGCTGGAATAATGCCACTTTGAAGAGACTTCTGTTCTTGTTTATCATAGGGCTTGTAGAGTCTATGTAAACAGGAGTGTTTCTTTGTTGCTTCTATATCTAATGTTGCAGCCTAGACTTGGAATTTGTAGCAGGTTGTACTGTACATTGTCTCTGCGTTCATAGTGAAGTTGCCACTCAGTTGAAGAGCATAATTTGTTGGGGTTTTTTTAAAACATTTCATCAAAATCACAAGTAAACACAGTGACTCTTAAGAATCTACGTCATTCTATTAAATAGTCTTAGCAAAATCTAGTATAGTCCCAAACACTTGGTTATTGTAGGAGTTACAGGCTGGTTAAAATTGTTATTTAGTAACTCGTTACAAGTATAAATATTTAGAATGATACTATGAGTTTCTCTGTTTAGGAAGGTGCTTCTGAGGGAATTTTTCTTCCACCTTAGGTGTTGGAAGTTCTGCACTTAAATCCCCTGGATAATTACATTTTGTAAATGTACCTGCCTACATTTTTCACTTTATAACATTTGAGATATGAAAGAAAATGTTTCTCCTTTCTTTAAAGTCTAATTTAGTACAATTGCATTTCCTTTTCCGTTAGGTTCAACCAAATCAGCCTGCTGAAGTGAATAATCTGTACTACCAGAACACATACCAGACACTGTCTTATGGTTCATCATATGGCATTCCATACACTTACGCTGCGTATGGATCATCTGAAACCAAGTCTCAAAAAACAGATAACACAGTTCCTTTCAAAACTCCCAGTAATGAGATGACTCCTGTTACTATTGATTTGGTAAAGAAACAGCTTAAAGACAGGTAGGACAGACCATCTTTTTTAGACTTAAAGACCTGTCCCCTAGCTTTCTGTTCCTCAGGCGTCTTTTAGTCTCGGTGAGCAAACACAGAGTTTCATCGCTGGAAAAGTACTGACTGACACATCCATTAAAAAAAAAAAAAAGGGCAAACAAAAAATGCTCAAAGTGAAGATGACATTGACACTTTGTTCGAAAATCTCCTTGGATTGCTTCTCTGGAAGTGAAGCTTTAAATGTGAGCCCATTGATCTTGTTGAAGACAGGTCTGAGTTGCATCTTCTGGACGCTGCGCAGTCTTATAGTCAAGAATTGAAAGGCCAGTGAGGTGTTTAGCTTGTCAAGTTGCATTATTTTAAACTGTGAATCAGATTTTTCCCCTTCAGTAGATAAAGTGACATTTAAATTTTAGTGTTTGGTTTAAACACTGTAATCTGCTTGTCAGGTCCACAAAAGGTCCTACTGAATGAACAACCCAATTGCAGTGAGAAATAATTTGTAATGAACATCTTGCACTTTACATGGCTTCAAAATTGGTTTGTATGCCCCTTGTAGGGTTACAACCTTTGACAGTGAGTCAAGTTAGTAAAGGAATAAAAGTGCTTTGTATATGCTGTAGTTCTCCCTTCCCCCAAACCAAAAGCTTTCCTACCAGTTTTACTTTAGGGCCAGCCTTGCACTATTCCAAGTTCTGTCAACTCCTATAAAAATTCGTGGGAGTGGGCAGTGTAATGCACTCAGCATAGTCTAGCAAATTAATTTAAACCATTAGCCTTGCTGTTTATATAGAGAAGGGGAGAAAGTGACAAATGAGAGTGAGAGTATGTCTTTGCAGTATTTCCCATATGTGGGCTTGGTACTTGCACTGTCTGTTTAATATCTCAATGGTCTGAAATATCCAGACTTCTGGATGTAAATTTGCTATTTATCCGTTGCCCTTCAGGTTGGACTCTATGAAAGAATTGCACAAAGCTAATCGTCAGCAATATGAGAAACATCAGCAAAGCCGAGAGGACTCTACCAAGGCAATTGAAAGATTAGAAGGGTCTTCTGGGGGTATTGGTGAACAGTATAAGTTTTTGCAAGAAATGCGAGGGTATGTCCAAGACTTGCTTGAGTGTTTCAGTGAAAAGGTAAGGATGCAAAAACATTCATCTTTTTTCAAAAAAAAAAAATTAAAAAAAAAAAATAGGGACTTAATACATGCCAAACACCACCACATCTCCCTCTGTTTTTGAAAAAAGTCCCCCAAGAACATATTCTTCTAAAGGTTTGGTTATTTGAGGGTTGAAAAGATAACTTTTCATCATGCTAAGCTGGTTATCAGAAACTTCTCTTTCACGATGTAAGCAATCGCTGATTTTAGATTGCCTAAAAACACTCTGAGGTTATATGTCTCTAGGATTTTGATAGATATTCTGGCATTTCAACTTGATACAGATGCTGCTTTTTACTTGTGGTGGACTGAATTACAACATTACTAGTTTCTGGGATGGTTTATGAACACAGTAGCAAAGACTTGTATTTTGTGTGTTGTTATAAACTTCCTCCTGCCAGGCAGTTTCACATACTTCGTGTTGCTCTAGTGTCTGAAGGAGGGCAGTTTTAAAACTAGTTTAGCTACCTCAAGACACCCAAACTTAAAAATATACTTCTCATGTTGTGCAATAATTTTGTATCAATCTAGCTTGAAAATGTAGTCTTTCTTTCTTATGTTATTTATTACATTTTAATTACTTTGTTGTAAATACAACAAGAGCTCCTGGGAAAAAAAATATATTTATTTCTAGCTATTACACACAGGAGCTGTAAAATTCAGTCAGCAGTACTTATGCTATTTCTTCATTGTCTTCTGACTTGAATACAATGGTATAGTATCTTCTTGATAAGTTAGCTGTCACAATTACTTCAGTGGTTGAAACTACTGCTTACCTAGCTTGTTAGGTGTGGGATAGGAATATAAAAGCATTTTGGTTGCTAATTGGTTAGACATTAATTGCCCAGCATTAGTGGTATTGGGAGAATCCCATCTTGAGTCCTTCAAGCTGAATAGCTATGCCATGAACAAACCCAGGAAGTGTGGATCAGTTAATTCACCCAGCTGATTGATTAGTTACAATAGATACTGCTCACTGAAGAGGCAGTGTTCCTGAGTCGGTATTGGCATTAGCTGTTGGCAGGTAATAAAGGTACTTTTCTTCGTGGCTCTGTCAGTGCTGGTTGCCCAGATGCCTAAATTTTCCTACTTAAAGATAACTCTTTATATTCTTTCTCTTGAGATAAATTTGTATTTCAGAAAAGTTAAATACCTGTATCTCTATTCAGCATTTGCTTTCGGAAGACCTCTTGTTAAATTTCTTTTGTGATGACTATAGCCCATCTCTGGAGGTTCTCTTTGATAGCCCATGCTGTCTTGTTCAAATATTTTCTTTAAACAAATTGTTTTAGATGCACCATTCCGAGCATAAACCAAGACTTTTAGTCTCTCAGATTTTGTATAAACTAGGAAAACTTACTGTTAAGTGATAGTGTAATGATTTCAGTTCAGTTTGTAGGAAGGTTATTGTCCTATCTAGCTGTACGAAATGAATTCCAGCTGTTACACAGCAAATTAGCTGCAGATAATTTAACAAACAGGCTTGTTGAAGTTGCTTTCTTACAATATACCTTTGCTTTCCTGGTAGTTGGTCTTTTTAAGATTCTACACCTGGACACGTTTCTTCCCTTTCCTGCTCTCCCACTCTTGCTCCACCTGCCATGGCAGCCCATTGAACTCCTAAGCTGTGATTTTTATCATCTCATGCTTCTTAGGGGCATTCACAGAGTTTTGCTCTTTTCAGCTGGAGGCTGCTGCGGTACCTGTATGTACAATGAGTCTTAAATTTAGGAGGTGACATGGTCAGTTTAACAAGAGCATTTCATTTATTATGATCTCCCATATATTCCTCATTTATTTTGGCTGGATAATCTGTCTTGGAATTCAGTGCTTTCAGCATGACAAAAGTACTATCAAATTAAAAAACAGTAGCCCACAGGACACCGCAAAGTTTTCTAAAAAGGAGATGGGGGGAGGGGACAAAATGAAGTAATAAAATCAGGATCAGTTTTTATTTAAATGAAATAATGAAATGCAGCAGGACAGTAAATTCTTCTTAACTTTTGAGTGTAGTGATAAATTGCCTTCAGCTTTTTTGTAGAACCTGTGGCTCTGGCTCTTCATACTTGAAGTGTGTGTGTTTATAATATATAATGTATATAGTTGTTATGATTATAATCTACATAAGCATATAAAATGTGTATCCATATGTGTAATAACAATATTGTGTGTATGTATGAATAAGGGCAGTTAAGGGCAATTAATGACAGAACAAAGGGAAATGGGTTTAAACTGAAAGAGGGGAGGTTTAGATTAGATATTAGGAAGTTCTTCACTGTGAGGGTGGTGAGACACTGGCACAGGTTGCCCAAGGGAGTTGTAGATGCCCCCTCCCTGGAAGTGTTCAAGGCCAGGCTGGATGAGGCTTTGAGCAACCTGGTCTAGTGGAAGGGGTCCCTGCTGATGGCAGGGGGGTTGGAACTGGATGATCTTTAAGGTCCCTTCCAATCCAAACCATTCTATGATTCTGTGTATATACACATACATATATGAACACTTGCCCTAAATGTGTATAAAGCTAGGTCCATCCCTATCCTTACAAATATGATGCTTTGATGCTTTCTCTTTATTTTATTAGGACTGGTCATAGTTATTAGTCATATTCACATTGGTACTGATCTGAATCAGAAAGCGGTTTGCTGAAGAGCAACTAATGGGTTCATAATAGACTTGTCTACTCCAAAAGATTCCATTCCCTTAGAGTTTTATTGTTTGTCTGTTGACTTCGTTCTGGTGACCAAAACACATCATCATCAATTAGACTTTCTTCCTCCTACTATCTTATTTCTGCATCTCTTCACCATGCTCAACCCTTCGCAGCCCCCAACCAAGCAAAACCATTTTGTTTGCGTTGTGCTTTGAAGAGATTCTGAATATTAGAAACACTTTGCTCGTTGGTAAGGTGCAGTGGAGAGTACAATAAGGCAGCTGTTAAGCAAATGTTAGAAACAGGCAATAGAAATATCAAATCTTCTATGTTTTGGGGATTTTTTTTCCTATAAATGATAAAACCAGTGGAGTGGAAGATGCTTGCATGATTTCCTTCACAAGTAATTACTGTCAAAATTACGCTTTCTGAGAAAGCTAGAAAGTGATAATGGTGTCTTTAGATCTTAAATGTAGGAATATACAAGGGATACAGAAAGATTAAGTTGTTCTGAGTGTATCTTTGACAGTACAGTTAGATGAACTGTTATTTCACCTGCAAAAGCATATTATCAAAACACACTGTCAGAAACGGGGACTGTAGGTTAAAATTATCCTTGTCATCAAATGCTCAAACAGGTTTCCTGTTTTCCTCTTACACTGTTTACAGTGAAAGTGAAGAAAAAAATCCCAAACCACTGCATTTAAGGGACTGACCAAACAAAACACAATGAATGAGGGCTGTAACTTTATAGCAGTGAAATTGTCAGTCACTCATCAACCCCAGTATTTATTATAGAAGAGTAACGGCTTCGAAGTTCATTGTGTTTTAAATGGGAAATATTTATAGTGGATTCATGTATCTGAGTAGCTGGGGTTTTTTAATCCTGAGCCAATTGTAGAAAGAACTTCTAGGGATGCTTTGAAAAATGTTCATTTAACTCCTCAATTTTCGAATTCCCTTTACACACTTAAGAGAAGAAGCTATATTTTCTATGGTAAACTGTAGCAAAACTAGTATTTTTAAAAGTTATTTGTGTTTTCAAAATCGTCTTAAATTCCAAATATACACTTCCAGCACTGGCATATTCCCTCCCCCTATTTCTCTCTACTCTGTTTTCTCCTAAGAAAGTTGTACGTATTTTGAGTTCGTGCGGCGTTGCTTTCATTTTGATCCCTGTAGCCCAGTTTATACCACAAAGAGCTAATATTTTTTTCCTTTTAGTATTTCCTCTGATGTATGTGCCAGTCTCAGCTGAAATGGCCCTGTAGCTATAATCTTATAATCTACGTTTTACTGGAGGAGGTTCTTTAATAGCTGCTGAGTCACATTCTAAGTTACAACAGGAAACAATTTCCGATTTTATCTTTTGTTTTGAAAAAAAACCTTAATCCTGAATGGTAGGCAGCAATGAAATATTTATGCTAAAAGAGAAGACTCTGGACTAAGCGTATGTCTCGGAGGTAAGGAGGATATGGCTTAAGTGTTCATACCAAAAAGACTTGCCTTTCCAAATTAAGAGATTGTGAAAAATTCTGGTTTGCATTTGATTATTTATAATAATCTAATTTTAACTTGTCCTGGGAAATAAGTTTTTGCAAAAGTGAGCAGTGAATCTGCTATTTAATGTCAGGAAATTCCTAGTCGTTGTAACATCATCTGTTTTGTTACAGTTGCTACTGAAATTTAGTCCACTTTAAAAATAAAAAAAGAAAAAAAAAAAAGTGTCAGGTCTGATGTGACTTAAGTCTGTATTGTTCAAAGTTTATATTTAATGCATAATTCACACAAATTGTGCCATTTTAATGTTTATGATAGGCTAGAGTAACATTTTACTGATTCGAATGACCTGTTGACATAACACGCTTAAGCAGCGTTTATTGCATCTCAGTAATAGTAACACACTGGGTAGAGAAAACAAGAGTACTTGAAATAACATTTCACGCTCTCTAGAATGGTTGTCTGACTGTGTAGACTCATTCAGTCAACAGAAGTTACTTTCAGAATGCTGTTGCTGCGGTTGAAAGCTGTCAGCATTGTGAAAGGCATGCATTGTCTTCACAGTGAAAGATTTACTGCTCCAAATGATACAGATGGGTAAAAGGAAACAATTTGTGCTGCTAGAAGTACAGTGGCAGCGTTATGCTTCGGAATAGTATGGTACCCCAGAAACTAAGCACCTGAAGAATTTGATATTACGTAGTGTGTTGTATTTTTACAGGTGCCTCTGATTAATGAACTTGAATCTGCAATGCACCAGCTGTACAAACAGCGAGCTTCCCGCCTTGTCCAAAGACGACAAGATGATATTAAAGATGAATCTTCGGAGTTTTCAAGCCATTCAAGTCAGTCCATCTTGAAGGTTTTTATTATTCATTAAACAACCTTGTTTACTTAGTATGGCATAATTTAAATGTAAATGTTTAAAGTACGGCTGTTATAAAGTTTTTCCTGACTCTTGAGATAGGTAGAAGCGAGCTTAGATAAAAGTTTTCTAATCTGTTTTGTTTTAAACTCAAAGCCACTCTAACTCTGACTTGCCTTTCTGTTTCTTGCCTCTCCTTTCTGTTGCTCTTAACTATATTTTCTCTTTCCTAGCACTGAAAGTGTATGCATGGTGGCAGTGGTAATTTTGGTGACTCCAAATTTTCCTCTTATGTCAGGACTTTTTTTTTTTTTTTTTTTTTTTTAAACCTCCTTGAATCTGTAATTTTCCTGTAACATCTACAGTTAACTCTGTACAAAGCCATGAAGCACTGTGCTGGAGTTGACTTCTGTCTAAGGCTGTATTTTGTAGGCAGCATAAGTATTTCATTTCAGACACTTAACTGGTAAAGCTAAAGAACTGGAAGAGACTGTTACCATTCTTAAAGATCAGACTAATACTGACCCTATATGAGATACAGCTTAAAATTAGCCAGTTAAAATACATACTTACTGTGAGTGTGTGGATGGGGGATTCTCACTGAGGAGTTTTCTTCTGGTGATTGCTCTTCAGTATGTTGTAAAGTATAAATGTTAACTTGGATGGAAATATACGTTCCTTGGAGGAGGTTTTATTCGGCACGTTAAGCGACAGGTAAAATACCATATTAATAGTAGCTGTCTTCCTGCTTTGGAGAGCTTCCCATTTTTAAAAATGGCTTTCTTGGCTATCCTGTTGCTGACCTACAATCCTATAATAAATGCTATTTCCTGTTCTGTCATGATGTGTCCAGAGATGAAATTTTGTTAATACAATTAGAACTTCCTGAGGGTGATAAAGCATTAGGGCATCAGAGTTAGTCATCCCTTTATGGAGAGGAGGGCATCTGTATTCCCTTCAGGACTTTATTTGGAGCCTCAGGCATCACATGTAGGCCTTACAGTTTTACCATGAAAATGCTGTTGTGAGAACTAGAAACTTAATGTACTAGAAACACATTTCCTAAAAGAAGCTTAGAATGGATTATTTTAGACTGGAATTTAATGATGGGGAGGGAATAATTGTCATTGTCAAGGCTGGGTTTTAAAGGAAGATTTTTATATAGTATCTGAGAGCCTTGATAATGAATTTCACTGTGTTTGGAAATAGTTGTGTTCTGTTCTTCAAATGATCACAGAAACTAGGAATTGATGCCAGCCTTTAAGTTGATGTGTGTTGCAGACATAGACTATTTTCTTCATACAGTGTCAGAACACTAAAGGCTAGAAGTGAATTTAAGTTTGTCTTGACAACTTTTGCTTTACTTCTGCATAAAGACAAGTAGCTCAGCTTTGAAAAACATTTTTAAAAACTGAACACATAATGGCTTCAACTGTATGTTAAGGCTTTTGGTAGTTCTGGTATAGAATTGGAATACTGACACAGAGCATCATTAGGATTTTTAATGATGGATTTGTAAATAGATTTAGTTAGAACTTGTAAATTTACTCTTGAAATTTGGGTAGGCTTTTGTTTAAATTTTGATTTTATATTTTAGTGAGTGGGCTTGAGCACTGGCTAACATTCAATCCACTTTTAAAAATTTACCTGAAAAGGATGAACTGGAAACACTCTGGGGTCTATCTGCTGGTTGCTGATCAGCTTCACTGGTTAGCTGTGTTGTTTTCTATAATCAGGAACATCTATAATGACTTGCAGTTTAAGAGGAGGGAAGATGGTTTATTTTCCTGTAGATTTTGATGTGTTTAAAACTTTAGGCAACCTAAAGCATATAAACTTAGAAAACACTGACTAGAACTCTGAAATATCATGAATTCTTCCTCCGGGTAGGCAACCTAAAGCATATAAACTTAGAAAACTCTGAAATATCATGAATTCTTCCTCCGGTCACTCTTCTTTGCCTTTCTTTTTGTTAATTTTCTTTTCAAAAGATACATGGTGAACACGTTTATATAAGGAGCACTTTTTGTCTTGGAACATCCAACTTAAGCAATTTCTATTAAAACTGTTGACTTCTGTATAGTTGGGCACTGTTGTGTGAGGGACAAGAGTGAAGTATGGTGAAAACTATTTGACATTTAAGTGGAGATTTTTCCAAACTCCGCTATTTCCTCTTTTAACCTCTATACTTATGAATTCAGGCTTCTGGGTGCGTCTTTTTGAAAACTTTGACTTTCTACTTCAAATTACACTTAGTTTAAAGTAGGTAAAAAGGCTCTTATGAAACTGCCTGCAACATGTTTATATAATCACAGATGAACATTTTAATTTGCATCAATGTAATTTTACAGATAAAGCACTGATGGCACCAAATCTTGAATCTTTTGGACGAGACAGAGTGATCTATCAAGAACAAGTAAAGCGTCGGACTGCAGAAAGAGAGGCTAGAAGGTAGAGTACTAAGATTTCTTGTCCATTAGGAGTCTTTGCCTGCTTGCAGAATACAATTTTCCTGTGTGACATACTCATGTAAGCAGCAATATTTGCTTCTGTCCTGCAAAGGGAGGAGAACACTTAGACTGGTATGCTGGGCAGGGGTATTCCCATATATCCCAACTTACCATGCAAGTGTACAAAACAAGGCACCATTACATGATGGCAATTTCAAATCACTAAAAAAAAGCATAGTAAACCCTTTTCCTACCTTTATGGCTTCTGCTGATTTCCTTCATTATTTGAGGCAGGAACATAGTGGAGAGTTTGAGGTGGTGACATAGTGAAAGTTTTTTCAACCTGGATTTCCTTACATTAAAAGTTATGAGAAGCTTAGGTGCATCTGTTCATTGTATGGGGGGGGGGGAAGAAGTAAGAGCTGGTTTATACTGCTCGTCCTTTTCAGAACTCGTCGTAGACAAGCAAGAGAGCAAACTGGGAAGATGGCAGATCACCTTGAAGGCCTTTCCAGCGATGATGAGGAGACTTCAACAGATATTACAAACTTCAACATGGAGCGAGGTTAGAAAAGCTTTTGTACCTTCAGTGGGTACCAAGTCTTCCATCTAGTTTGTAACATGGTTTATAATTTTTCAAATAGCTGTATTACATGTGAAATTCTGAAAACCTCAGCGCTGTAGAAACCTTTTTTTGCTTGAAGTATCTTCTGAAGTTTTGTGTAAGCATCTGGAAATGCAGTGACAAAAGCTTTGTAGACTCTTGTTACAGCCTGGCAAACTTTGCAGATGACAGAAAACAGTGTTGAATGCAAACATTGCCGGAAGATCTTGTGGTACTGTCTTGATTTGAAATTCATCTGCAGTTTTATGATGGTTTGCTCAAAGTAACCTTTATTGTGCAATTATGCATAACCCTAATTATGCAATAAATGGGATAGTAATTTAAGCTAATGCCTCTAAAGCACTGGGAGAACTGCAAGAAACCTGAGATTTGGGGGAGTGTGGATAGTTTGATGGAACAGTCATCTTTTACAGCAGCAGTTAAAAGGCAAACAATTCCAGTAGTTACTGTGAAACCAGTAGCAAAGAAAGTATAACGTCACTGTAGTAATCCTGTTACCTTCTCATTTTGAACCTGATACAATTACCATTGTCTCCAATTAAAGATAATTTAATCAGGTTAGAAGAAATGTGGAGAAGGGGAGCAGCAAGGCTCACGTATATAGAATTGCTTTGGTTGTATGTGAGGAGGGATTAAACAGTTTTGGACTCTTCAGCTAGGAGAAAGATGTTGACTTTTCACAGTGTGAGAGCTAGTGGGCATAAAATGAAGTGATAGGATAGGTTTAAAATAAACAAGTCACTTCCCACAGAGTGTAATAAAAATGCCAAAGTCATTGCTGTAGGTGATTGTGGAGACTGAAGGTACGAACAGGTTGAAAAAGCAATTAGATGAACTGTCTAGCAGTTGGATCCTTCAGAAGGGCAAACAGTTTCCCCATCTTTAGTTGTTGGCTGATTTACCAAAATTACAGGTGCAAAGAGAGCTCATTGATAAACAAAGCAACTGCTTAGGGTTGTTAGGTGCTATAATTAACTTTACTAAGTTAAATTACCTAGATTAAAAATTCAGTGTGGCTGAATTACTCTTTGTAACTTGGCACTTTTATGTCTACAAAAGCCCTGTTTCTGAGTAAGTGTAGTATTTCTAAAGCTCATGTTATTCTGGAATCAGCAGTGAGCTATACAGAAGAGGGTTGCACTTTGGACCTGCTAACTTTATTTGTAGCATGTCTTCTTGATCTCAGTGTGAAAAGTGTGTTTATATGACATAATCTCATGTTTATTCAGTCCTGGCTCTACCTGCTGTGTATACTAGTTACGTTAGTTGTGTACAGGTTACTACTGTAACTGAACATTTAAAACTATGGCTACAGCAAAAATGACTGATTAAAATGAAAATAATGCTGGGAAGCAGAAAAGATGAAGGGAAAATAATGTGTAGAGAAAAATTTTTGGACTGCATAGAATACTGGTACTGTAAATAGAAAAAAAACTAAGGAATGTGCTAAGGGCTTGCAATGGTTGCCCAGTGCTGACAGCCATGTTATGTTCAGTGGTTTAGCATGGTGTCTGCCAGGACCCTCTCTGTCTGAAGTGCCGATTCAGTGGCTTATCTGAGGTGCCCTCCTGCACTTGCACTTGGATGAGCACAGTTGGAGAATAATTTGGGTTGGAAGGGACCTGGAGATCAGCTGTTCCAAACTCCCATGTAGACCAAGGCCAACTTTGAAGTTAGATCACACTGAATAAAGCCCAATACATCACCAGTCCAATATCTGGTAACTGAAAATCATGGTATGAAAGGTTTAAAGCAAGTCCTGTGATAAAACAGTGTATTGGAGAGTACCCCTGTGCTCATGGTTTTATTGCTTTGTATATTTGAGGCAGAAGTAACAGAAGTTTTAAAGGTGATGGTTTTTTGGTTTTGTTTATAGGATTTAGCTTATGCCAGTGAGCATGAAAGTCATCTTGAAAGAGGTATTAAAAGAACAGGTAATTAACTTACTACTCTTTTTCTCCCCCACCAGATCGTATCTTGAAGGAATCCAGCAAAGTTTTCGAAGATGTTTTGGAAAGCTTTTACTCAATTGATTGTATTAAGTCACAGTTTGAAGCTTGGCGGTCAAAATACTTTGCTTCTTATAAAGATGCTTATATTGGCCTCTGTTTGCCAAAGCTGTTTAACCCTTTAATCAGACTTCAGCTGCTTATCTGGACTCCTTTGGAGGTAAGGTCCTCTTCAGGCCACTTTTACTTAAGCTTCTATATGGTGGTTCATTCACACTTCCACAGGGCAAAATAAATTGCACCTTTGCTTTGTACTTCTCGTAAATGCGTGTTTTAGGGATGAAGTTTAAAATGGGCACCTCTCTTGGCATGAAGCTTTTCTGGGAATTTTCTGAACTGCTGTCCTTTTTGTTCCCAGCAGGCCAGAGTTCAATTCAGCATATGCCAGTACCTTCTCAGTGACTGGTGTAGACCAAAAAGCTTCTTAAATAATACATTTAGGTTTTAAAAAACTTAAGAGAAAATTGTGATTCTAGAGATGTTGTTTCTTAAGAAGTGGAACTAAGAAGCCTGTTTTTATGTTGACTTACAACCTATGTCTCTACATTATACATCTTTCTTTCTCTCACCTACACATTCATGCACTGTAGAACTCTGGCTGGAAATTTCCAAGTCGTCCTCATAGTGCTCATTGCCCAGTTATTAGGTAGGGAACATGGGAAAAGCAAGACAGCATTGTTGAAACTTAGTATCTCTGGCACATGTTCACTGTCCAGCCTGCATATGTGTGCTGACAGGGGTAGTCATCAGGACAAACAGTTCAGGTCGCTTTTGACTCCCATTCTGTCTTGCTACCAGTGAAAGCTCTTGTGTAGTATTTCTGCTGCAGTCAAGTGCTTATTTTCACAGTACTGGTAGGATCTTTATTTTCACAGTACTGGTAGGATCTGAGGGCCACGAGGATGATCCAAGGGCTGGAGCACCTCTCCTACAAGGACAGGCTGAGAGAGTTGGGGCTGTTCAGCCTGGAGAAGAGAAGGTTCCGGGGAGACCTTATAGCGGCCTTCCAGTACCTGAAGGGGCTACAGGAAGGCTGGGGAGGGACTTTTTACAAGGTCAGGTAGTGATAGAACAAGGGGTAATGGCTCTAAACTGGAAGAGGGCAGGTTTAGATTAGATATTAGGAAGAAATTGTTTCCTGTGAGGGTGGTCAGACACTGGCACAGGTTGCCCAGGGAAGCTGTGGATGCCCCCTCCCTGGAAGTGTTTAAGGCCAGGTTGGATGAGGCTTTGAGCAACGTGGTCTAGTGGAAGGTGTCCCTGCTGATGGCAAAGGGGTTGGAACTGGATGGTCTTTAAGGTCCCTTTCAGCCCAGACCATTCTATGATTCTATCTTAATTTTTTCTGCCACGTTGGCTTTTACTGGGGAACGGGAGTGGGTCAAGGCACAGAGTGAGTGCAATTGCATAAGCTTGGGGGGGTTTTTTTAGGAAACTAGGCTAATAAGGCAGATTGTCTTTTTCCCTTTCAAAACTTAGCTCATCTACAGCACTGTCTGCAGATGTGTTGGCCTGTGTCACAAATGACTGAATCTCTCCTGTTTTTCGTAACTACTAAGAGAATATTTGTAGAAGGGGATCTTCTGTTGCCTCTGCTCTGATTGCAGAGGAAGGGAAGCACAAGTCTTCTTCAGAGAGCATTTAGAGTATTTAATTTCAATAAATGAGGGAAAATCTATGGAAGACATTCTCATTAAATTTAAAACTGGTTTTGTATAGTCTCCCTTCCCTCATGCTATTTCTATGTGAATTTCCAGGCTAACAAAACAAACTCCAAGTTAGTTGGAGACGTGGTACAGAATTCTCAAACCTAATTGCTTTCACTACTCTGTGTCACTGGTCCTGTTAAGCATTTTCTTAAGTTAGAAAAATGACAAGGCACTCATAAAAATACGTTTTTAATCCAGACAGGGTACTTTAATAATGCAGCACAAATGAACTATACTTATTACCACTTTTACCCTAATCTGTGAGCTTTTATTTGGCTCAGGTGTAATGAGAAGTTTAAATCTGTAGGGTAACAGCTGCCAAAAAAAAAAGCAGTCTTACTTCCACCATATTCACTTTCATTAGATCTAGTGATTGTGTGGTTGTAGAGTGAATTGGTCCATCCTCTCTCAGGGTTGGGTTGGATTGCATTGTCCATATACACTGATGTGACATATACACTGATGTCACTGTGGTGACATGATTAGTAGTGTCCAGGCAAAGAGGCAGAACACTTTCTTCACTTCTCAGGGATCAGGCTTGCCTGTGTTTTTTGAAGGAAGTAGTATGACTGCTTCAGAAGTAGGGGAGCCAAAGCAGGTGAAGCAATTTGCCCATCCTTGTGCCAGATTAAGAGTTTGTTTGGTCTTGAGGCACTGTATCTTTTTGTTGTTGTTATTTCCAGGGCAGATGAGTACCTGACACGTAGACAAAAGGACTAGATTTTCAAGTTCTTATTGTGCTCCAATGCTGCTTTCCCTGCCTGCTTAGCACGCTTGGTAGACTGTTTTAAAATAGTTCTGTTGTGTTTTGTGAGTGTATCATACTTGCATATATAATACTTTTTCTTTTCTTTTTTTTTTAAGTGTGTTGACTTCAAATCTCTGTTTAGGAATCTAACCTCAGTTCTTTCTTTTTTTATTAGGGCAAGTGTCGAGATTTTGAGACTATGTTGTGGTTTGAATCATTGCTGTTTTATGGTTGTGAAGAACAGGAGCAAGTAAAAGATGATGCTGATATTTCACTATTGCCTACCATTGTAGAGAGAGTTGTTCTTCCTAAATTAACAGGTATAGCCTTAGAATGAAAATGGGCGAAAAGGGGGGGGTGTGTGGAAGCTGATGCTGGTTTGTACTTTCAGATTTTACTGTTTTTAAATTATTACCTAACTGTCTTAGTACCTGTATTTGAGCATTTGCAAAGGGGAGTAATTCTTTAATCTCTTACAGTGATTTCTGAAAATATATGGGATCCTTTTTCTACAACACAAACATCTAGAATGGTAACAATTGTGCAGAAGCTCGTAGATGGATATCCTTCAGTGGTGAATGCAGAAAACAAAAATACCCAAGTAAGTTATTTGTTCTTAAATATCTTGCAGAAGTTAAGGGATTTGAATATATTTTTAATACACTGTACTGGAGAACACAGCATGCTCAGTGAGCAGCAAGAAAGAGAATTTTGCAATTATGTGATGCTCTGCAGTCGAGTTATGGAGAGTCAAGTACAGTGATAAATTAGGAGGAGGAACTCAGTGAAGTCTCCCCAAAATAAATGGTAGAGATAAAAAGAGATACCAAATGTACTAAGACTTGTTGGTCTGCAGTTTTGCTTTAAGGCTCAGCTGCATATAGTCAGGCACTTTTTTTTTTTTTTGTGGTCTTTGTAACCTTTTCAAATGTATTGCTTGAAATTTTATTGTTTTACTTGTCTTCTTTGAGTCCAGGAACTGATGTAATGAGTTCAGGTGCCGTAGCTAATGCAGTGTACGCGTTGGCTTTAGAATAATGGGAGGTTGGCCAATGTGCACATGTGTGGGGAAGTCAGCAAAAGATAAAAAATGCCAAAAGCCCTGACTTCACAGAAACTGATTGTGTAGCCAAGCTTAACCATAAAGTAATTCTATTGCCTTCAGTTTTTATTCAAAGCATCACATTTCAGCTCTGTTAATTATTGTAGGCTGCTTTAAAATTTTACTTATGTGTGTGCTTAGGTACGTACACCTTTTAGTGCTAGGGTTACAAATGTTCTTTGTTGCTTTGAAAATCAGTTTCTGAGTGGTTAACTACTAAGCAGTGCTTTGGACACTTAAAAAAAAAAAAAAACAAAAAACAACCAACCTTATCTGTTTCAGATGCTTTTAAAGGCATTGTTGCTAAGAATGAGGAGAACACTAGATGATGATGTATTCATGCCCTTATACCCAAAAAAGTAAGTTTGCTTTCAACTATGGTGTTAAACTTCTATTAGCAAGTTGGTGTCTTCTGCCCGTAGTTAACAGGGGTGTTTTTTTCCCAATATGGTTCACTGGCTGGTTACAGGTGATCTTTTGTTATCATGCTGACAGGATTTAGCAAAGACAAGCAGGATGGAAGGGAATATTTGTAGAAATTATCTGTGTGTGGGAAGGAGGAAGCCAGCAAACTCCAGCCAGACGTGGTCTTGGTTGCTTATTAAAGAAATCTCTTACTTTCCAGCATCTTAGAAAACAAGAACTCTGGTCCATATTTGTTTTTCCAACGTCAGTTTTGGTCCTCTGTTAAGGTAAGTCAGTAAATACATCTGGTAAATCTTTGATCTAGACAGTGTAGCAATAAAATCCTCTTCAGATTTTTGGAAAATGGTGGGTGGAAACTGCTTTAACTTTATTTGAAAGGACTCTAAATTAGGTTTCTTAGTCTTTGATAATGCACTGTGCCCTCTTCAAAAGATTGCTGAAGGAAAGCACCATCATTTTAACTTGTACATTGTTGGTTTACTTAGCGTACTCAGCTCATTTTTTTTAATGTCATTGTGCTTGTCAGAGTAAAATATGCTGCTTTTATTTCACTTATGTGGGAATGAGCTAGCTTGGTTTGTTGGGTTTGGGGTTTATATATATATATATGCGTGTGTGTGTGTGTGTGTGTACATGTATATATATGGTATCAGAATCTTCACAAAAATAACTTGTCCCCTTTTGGAAAGCATACTGCTCCTTATAAAGTATAAGAGTATTTGTAATCTTAGTTTAGTTGAAACTGTAAAGAGCATAAAAGAAAAAGTCTCTGTGTGTGGAATGTGCAATACAGTTTGCAAAGGTCTGTAAGAAGCTATGACTGTTGTAGTTTATTTGCAATGAAAGGCTATGAGGAAAATTAACTCCCAGCTGAACAGGAAACTAAAGTATGAGACCTGTGTTGGTTGAACTGCTGATCTCCATGATCACGCAAACAGAACTCTTATCTGGAATTTTCTGTTTAAATTGCAGCAGTGAGGGAGATTGTATTCTGAACTACTCTTTCAATAACTTCATTTACTTAAAATATTTGGCACTGAATTCTTTCTTATTTCACTTTGAAATAAAAGTCAACTTCTTAAATGCTGTCTAGAGGAAAAAAAATGCACAAAGCTCATTTATTAAAATGCTGTTGTTAAAAGTGAAACAGATCACTTATTTGATCTCTTTTCAGAGTGAAATTGCCTGCTTCTGGCAATATTTATCAGAGCCTGGGCAGCTTAGGAGTTTGCATGCTGTTAGCACTGTTTTATTTTAGGGAAGCATTAAAAATACAGCTGTCTTGCGCCAGCAAGTCAGTTACAGCATCACAGCTGAGCAGAAATAGAAGCTGGGAGGCAAGTGCTCATTTACTGTGTCCTCATGATCTGCCTCGACAGTAGACGCCTGTCTGCGCTGGTTTGTACGAGGCTGGCAGCAGTTCCCCACAGGCCGTACGTGGGGTGGGGAGTCACAGCTGTACAGCTGACTTAGCAGCCCTCCCCTGTGACACTTTCTGTGTCTCTTGAGTCACCATGCCTTGGAAATAAGGTTATGCTGACAGCGTAGCTGGGGATTGCATTGACAAGGGGGCTGTGGATTTTCTCTCATCTGGCAATTTTAGTTATTTTTTTCTGATTTCTTGTGCACAACATGAGCAAAGTTGAGGTGGTGGTTGTTGTATGGGAATTCTTAACACTCCAGGCTGGTACTTTATGGATTCTGAATAGTTTTGAAGCTAACAGAAAGCATATTTCCACTGCTTACCTTGGCCATGCTGTTGAAGAGGCTCTATCTAGAGTGTTTGATCAACTCCTTGGTTTCAGTACACTTTTAAATACTTATTTTTCCTGTGTTGTATTTTCAGTTATTAGGAAACTTTCTTCAGTGGTATGGAATCCTTTCAAACAAAACTCTCCAGGAACTGTCAATAGATGGTCTGCTAAATAGATATATTCTTATGGCTTTTCAAAACTCTGAGTATGGAGAGGACAGCATTAAGAAAGCTCAAAGTGTAAGTAAAATCAAACAATGTTTAAAACCACTTGTAATTCACAAATGTCAGCTGAAGGAAAAATGTAGATAAAATTTGAGGTTACCTATGAAATCTTGGATTTGATATCTCAAAGTTGTAATGTCAGTGAAAAAATATTATTTCTTTTTAATACACAAAGTAAAGAAAGAACCTTCTCTGGCCCATACCTGTAGGCTGTTTAGGTGTAGTGCAGGTTTCAGTGTTTTACTGCTTGAATTTTGCTTTTTTTTTTTTTTTTTTGGTAGGTTTCTCTTACCTGGCAGACTTCACAAATCATATTAGGTACCTTTTAAAATTTTGTTACACTTATTTAACTTTTTTTTTTCTGTTCTGTCTAGGTAATTGCTTGCTTTCCTAAACAGTGGTTCGCTAATCTAAAAGGAGACAAGACTATTTCTCAGCTAGAAAACTTCTGTAGATACCTTGTTCATCTGGCTGATACAATTTATAGAAACAGCATTGGTTGCTCTGATGTAGAGAAAAGAAATGCGAGGTAACTTATTCTGAGCGAATGCACTTGCAATTCGTATGCTCCGTGTTGTTTTGCTGATGCATGCAAACGTGGGTAGATATGTCTGTACTGCTGCATGTCTTCTGAAGCTTCTTTGAATTCAAACTTTAAAAATGTTACGGTATGGTAGATAGGGAGATGTTTAAGGTGTCCAGCAGCTGCTGGAAATCTTTTAAACATTTTACACTATTTATACATTTTACACTACTGCATAGTGTCACCAATTCTGGCAAAATTTGTAGCTACTGGTTCTGGACTGTTCTGCATTTTGAGCCTGTTGGTGATTCCTGCACAAGGGCTTCTAAATTACAAACTGTGCTTTTGTATACAGTACAAAAGCTGGCCACGCTTCTCTTGATGCAGCCCAG